GCATGTATGTGAGGCAATTTCGGGCTATTTTGTAGTTTTAGCCCGAAATTGCCTCGCATCCACGTTGGATTACATTGTAATGCAAATGAGAAAAATTAGCCGTGAAAAGGGCTATTACATAAGGATTAGAATGCTCTGGAATGTTCTTATACAAATTGGTCACGGCTGAATGACTTCCGGTTCTAGATTGCTCTAGAACTTGACAGACAATTTTTCGTAACAGAGAGGTCTTTTAAATATATATTACTAATCACATGCGCTTGCCACAAACATTTCTCTCTGACGTTACATATTAGTTTTTACTGCAGCATTTTGTTGTGTTTCATTTCATTATACCGAAGAACATTCATCTCTATTTTAGTAGCTTCCATGCAGTTTTATTACCAAGTAAATATTTTTCGCCGGTCATCTCGAACTTGGTTAAAAAAAATCCTTGATTATTTAAATTTTGTACATTAACAGCCATAAAACACGGCTGAATGAATTGCCCCAAGAAAATAACACAGTTTCGGGAAAAACCCGCCTATGTTGAATTAAAACAAGATATTTTCTCCACCATAAATGTGTTCATTTAAACAGGGATACAACACAGCACAATCTTTGCCACTCAACCCTTTGGTCTACCACTGGGCGAAACCACAACCCCGCAGTACCTGAAGTCTCTGGGATATACAACACACGGCGTGGGAAAGGTATAGTCTTCAGCTGTACTTGGTAGTTTAATTAAATTTCACCCGAATCCTCTTATTGCTTATTAGTGAGAGGGATCCTTTCCAGCGACTAGAGGAGAAGACTAAGATCTGCCGCAACTAACCCATTCGCCACTTAGGAAGCGATAACAAACCAACGCCGACTTGAGTTCTTTACGGTTAGAGAATCTAGTTTCCATCACAACCTTTTCGCATGTCTTCTACGCAATGTGAAAGACGAGTCGACCAGCACGTGGTTCACAGCATTTTCTTTACCGGGTTTATTAAGATTGATTTTTTGTACTGCCCTTGATGTTTCAGTGGCACTTGGGCTTCTTTGAAAAGGAGTATACCCCAACATTCCGAGGATTTGACTCGTTCTACGGATACTGGACAGGAAAGACTGATTACTGGACTCACCGATCATTTGAAGACTATTGGGGACTGGATCTTAGAGATAACATGGAGGTACATTGCAGTTCGTTTTTAAAGCTCTAAGGTGTTGAAGAGGGAAAAGAGAAATAACCAATAGTAGAAATCTGACTCTTGTTCAGATTGTTCAGTTATATTCTGGACCAGACATCTGGGAGGCATGTNCCCCCCCCCCCGCCGTACAAAAAGGACGGGGGTGCTCGTCGTACCTTTTAAAGGTCAAAAAGTGATTTTGGTACCTCTTATAATAATAATAATAATAATAA